CGCGGCAAAGCCTTCCGCCCGGCCCGCCGGCCGCGAACAACGTTCCGCGAACGCCGCCCGGGGGGAAGAATTCCGAAGGGCACCGCGCGGGGGCGGGGCCCTGTCACGATTCAATCTCCACCCCGCGCCCAACCAGCGCCCGGAGCAAGGGGCAGCGAACGCCGCTGAGCCGTTCGGGCGCAGCGAATGTTGGGGGAGCCACAGGGGGGTGGCTCAGGGAGAACGTCCCCCTGCTGGTGGGAGTTGGTCATTGCAGGCCAACAAAGAGCCGAAGGTCACCATCGCCAGGGGGCAGCGGGGTGGGGTTGTTTGGCCAGGACACGTGGGTTCACAGTTCCTAGCTGGGCTGCCAGCTCTTTGCTCACCACCTTGGTTTCACCTCTCCCCAGAAACTGGTGCCCAGGGCCATGCCTGTCCATAGGGTGGCTGGACTTGCTGGGGTCAGGCTGTGTCTTTGCAGGAGGGTAGGACGGGAGGCTCTTCACAGCAGTAAGTGCCATGGCAGGGCTCACCCCTGTCCCAGCTGCCCCAGGCAGCTTTCCAGCTAGGTTGCAGAACAAACAGGCTTCTCCTCACTGCTGTCCTTACGTTTAAGCAAGGACTAGTCCTGTGACCCTTAAAGACTAACAGATTTATTTGTTAAACTTTAAAAGCAACAAATAGTCTGGTAGCACTTTAAAGACTAACAAAACATGTAGAATAGTGGTAGAGATGTAGCCGTGTTAGTCTGGGGTAGCTGAAGCAAAATGCAGGACAAGGTAGCACTTTAAAGACTAACAAAACATGTAGATAGTATCATGGGCTTTTGTGGGCACAGTGTTGGATGTCAAGAACTAAAATAGGGCAGAAAGGGGTGGAGAAAAAAGGGGGGAGGACAAGAATAGGTAGGGAGTATAAGTTTTTGTGGATAACAAACACTGTGTTAGATGCATTATAGTTGCATAAGCTTCTGACTAGATAAATCTGTTAGTCCTTAAGGTGCTACAGGACTCCTTGGCTGCGTCTAGACTAGCAAGTTTTTCTGCAAAACCAGTTGCTTTTGCGCAAAAACTTGCGAGAAAAAAGGGGGGAGGACAAGAAGAGGTAGGGAGTATAAGTTTTTGTGGATAACAAACACTGTGTTAGATGCATTATAGTTGCATAAGCTTCTGACTAGATAAATCTGTTAGTCCTTAAGGTGCTACAGGACTCCTTGGCTGCGTCTAGACTGGCAAGTTTTTCTGCAAAACCAGTCGCTTTTGCACAAAAACTTGCCAGCTGTCTACACTGGCCGCTTGATTTTGCACAAAAGCACTGACGTTCCACTGTCCGAAATCAGTGCTACTTGTGCAAATGTTTTGAGGTTCCCATTCAGGCAAAAGCCCTTTTCCGGAAATGTTTTTGCACAAGAGGGCCAGTGTAGATAGCTAAAAACTGTATTGCGTAAAAAAGCCCTGATGGCGAAAATGGCGATCGGGGCTTTTTTGTGCAAAAGCGCATCTAGGCCGTGTCCACACTCAGGGGTTCTTTCGAAAAAAGTACCCTTTTTTCGAAAGAACTTCCCCTGCATCCAGACTCAAGCCGCGTTCTTTCGAAATGTGTGATCTTGCACCAGAAGTATGCAAATGAGGCTAAGTGTGGACTATTGCCGAGCCTCATTTGCATATCTAATGAGCCGCTATTTTTGCAGAAGAGGCGCTTGTGCCAGAAGGAGCTGTCTACACTGCCCCTTCTTGAGCAAGAAAACCCCTCTTGCGCAATGCCGTTACGCCGATTTCTTGCACAAGAAGGGGCAGTGTAGACAGCTCCTTCTGGTGCAAGAGCCTTTTCTGCAAAAATGGCAGCTCATTAGGTATGCAAATGAGGCTCGGCGATAGTCCGGAGCCTCATTTGCATATTTCTGGCACAAGAAGATGTGTGTGTAGACATAGCCCTTGGTTTTTTTTTGCAGATACAGATTAAAACAGCTACCCCTCCAAGACTTCTGTTTAACACAGGTTTCAGGAGCTGTTTTACAGCCCAGTCAATTTCCCTCAGGATGGTCCTGGCAAGTCTGGGATGGAATATCACCCTCCCTCCCCCAAGTCAAGGACTGGTTTGGAAGGAGGTCAAACCAATTGGGATTCCGACTGAAACAGTTCGACACCGGGCTTAACTCAAGCTGGTTTGTTAACCAGAGCTCTTGCCACAGCGCAGAGGAGAGAATCTTACACAGATCTCAGATGCTTGAATTCACACTAATATCAAAACCCCATATGAGAAAAGTTTTGAAAATACCAGATCCTATTTAGAACGATAATTTAGACACACAAATAATGATACCAAACTCATATATAGCACTGGTCATCTGTAGATCTTAAAGTGCTTTACAAAGTTGAAGTGTGATGTGACTGAAATGGAAATTATATTAATCAGTTATGTGAAGTGTTGAGATACCAATTTATAATAAACATTTTTCTTTTGTTAGTCTCCCATTTTGTATGATACCAATTTATAATAAACAAACATTTTTCTTTTGTTAGTCTCCCATTTTGTAAGATTGCTCAGAAAAGGTTATGCTGCAAAGGCATTTGAAACATTACTATTTTATCATATGCAAAACTCCAAATGTTAACCAGCTCAACTTCCTTGCCTGCTTTATAAATGAAGACACAAACATCTTGATCAGTCCAAGCTGTATTCCAGCCGTCCAGTATTCTGACTCATACAAAGTTCCAGATCGGATGCTTCCCATGGAAAGTGCAAGAATCACCATCATGGACAATTATGGAATAACTTTTCCATAGGAAAAAGTTTCTTCTTAATCCTAGGCAATTACATTTCAATTACAATAAATTAGTGTTTAATATCTATGCATGAGCATTTATATCCTGTATTTAGTTATATTACATCTGGCTAATGTAACTGTAGATGTCCTAACCACATAAAGGTCTTATACTTTCCTGAGTACTGATAAGCATCTGGAAACGATATGTTGTGTGTTTCATGGATTATTTGTATTCTGTGTCACAGTATTTTCTTTCATCAATTTGAAATGCAATGACTTTTAGTTCATTTCATTACAGTCCAGTCAATTTCCATCAGAATGGTCCTGGCAAGAGTGGCCTGGGATGTCACCCTCTTCCCCTAAGTCAAGGACTGGTTTGGAAAGAGGTGAACAACATCCCACTTCTAAAATATATTTCTAGATGGTAACAGTGTAACACAAAACATCACTCAGTAATTCCTACATCAAGTTCAATAACTTGTGAAAACATATAATTTACTTTGATAGTTTTGTAAGTCCCTGCTTTCTGTTTTTTTGCCAGTTTTGAAATGCAATGTTCATATCCTCACCTGCCTCTCATTCTCAAGATAATTCCCGGGTCAATGTTTTTACCATTTTGTTTTAAAATAAAGTAACTCTCCTTTGTAATAGGAATAGTGTTTACGTTATATTGCAGTTCTCCGAGCAGTCTCAAAACCATAATATGCTTCCTATAACTGGATTTAGCCAAGGTCCAACAATGCAATCAGCCGCAATGTCAATATCTATTCCTAATTCCAAGACAGTGTTTCCAGAAAAAATACTATACTTTGGCACTTATCAGTGATGCTCTTTTCTAAAATCCCTATACAGGGTTCACTAGAGAAACCTGATGCTATCTGTCTTGCTTGGGTGAACTGCTATTGAGTCTTAGGTGTTTTCCTGGAGATCATCACAAGATCCATGTAGACTGGACCACCATGATCTGCAAAATTTGGCTAGAATCAGGAGGATTCAATAGAGCGTTCTCATTCTCTGACAACATAGTGTGCTCCTGGGTTGAACTTACATATTTCATCATGGAGTGGGGAGGAGGGAAGTTGCATGTCTTTCTCACTCTCACTCATATGTAGGGACATGAACCACACTGCATCCTATTAAGATAAATTAAATAGCAAAACTCCCACTGACTTCCAAAGAGATCAGGGGCAGTTCCAAAGTTATCACTGGGGAAAACAATAGAAAATAAAATCTATGGAGTCCTTCAACCTTCTTCCCATTTGAAATTTCAAGTATCTCCTATAGATTTCCAGGCATTCTGGAGTGGGTCATCCCTGAATACTTAGACATCATGGTCTCTCAAGGCTCTGATGCTTGCAGGAGCATGGCAGATGTCAATAGGATGAAAGAATGAGCAATGACACTTTCCAAAGTGAATTTTGAGTGGTGTTAGAAATGTGTCACCAAAATTTAATTGGTGCTTCACTCATCATCTCTATGGTGTCATTCCTTGTGATGGCTGCCAATAGAATTTGGGTCAGGATCTCAGTGTGGGGAGTCATATCCATAGCCTCTGCTGCTGCTGTGAACTCTTATCCCATGGCTGGTATGCATACAGTTACCTTATTTATAGATCTGCAAAAGCCTTTCTACTTTTTTTTATTAGCCTTTACCACTCTGCAAGTGCAACCCACAGTTTTCATCAGATTCACTATCTGAGTCCCCAGCCTGTTCCTCATTGGAGTACTAGCTCTTGAGATAATTGTTTATGAGGACTACATTCCCTATTCTGTAGTAATAAATTTAGAGTTGTACACATTCCTCTTTGCTTTCTCTCCTCTCCTTCATTAGCCGTCACCTGAACATGAACCAAAAGGTGCTGATGTAGTTATTCTTCTAGTTATTCTCTGGTCTTTTTTTTAACAAAAACAAAAA